GCCTCTTTCAGTTGGTGTTCCACCTCTTTCAGTTGGTGTTCCACCTCTTTCAGTTGGTGTTCAACCTCTTTTATGTCTTCACCATAAATCCAAACTTGTGCACCTAAACTCTTAGTTTTTTTTTTTAAACCATTCCACCATTTTCAAAGTAAAGGTTGAAATAAATATTTTAGATAAATAATATTCATGTTGATGATGAGTGGATGTAAAGTTACCTGGAGGTCAATGAGGTCTTGGATCATGTGTTTGTTCCAGAAGAAACGATCATCCACCTGTTAAAACAAACAGGTAAAGTGAAGAGGTTTTACACAAACAGACAAAAACAGGACGAGGTCCCCCCCACCTGCTTCCACAGAGGTAGGCCGGACTTATCCGAGTCTCCCTGACGCTGCACGCTGTTCGTCAGGTCATAGGTCATGCTGTAGTAGAAGGAGTCCGAGTCCATGAAGATCTTGTACAGCTCTTCCAGCAGCCGCCTCTCCAAACGCTCCTTCTCTTTGTTTTCTTTAACCTGGAAGGCAGGGGAATACTGGAATGGGACGTTGGAAAGAAAACAGCGTAAGAAGCCAAGAAATCCCCAAGAGCCTGGAAGCAAAGTACGAAGGCAGGAAAGTAGAACGCTGCACAACAGAAAGTGTAAAAAAAGATAATAAAGCACCTTCTTCTTGATGGGCACAGCCACGTTGGACTTGATCTGACTGAAAGTTTTCATCAAGAACTTGGAATCATCAGGAGACTGGGCCAGCTTCTCTGGTTTGTCAATTCCAAAGTGATGCTTTTTACAAAGCTGTGAAGAAAAAATAAAATGACAAATTTAATACCGCTCTAATATTTAAAAAAGACCAACTTCAGGCCGATCCTCGTCAATATTTATTAAAAGATTCAGTTTTCAGACCCAACATGTCAAACTGTTCGATAGAAACAAAAATGTATATTATAGAAAATTCACAACAGCCGTAACTTGATTACATTTAAATAAATTAATAAATTAATAAAAGGCGTCATCACAAGCACTCACTAACGTTTCGCGTCGTTTCAATTGCCCTTAATTTATTTCTTAGTAAAACTTTATCACGATCCATCACATCAGCTAAAAAACAACCTTTTCCGTCAATAAAAATCTAAATGTTCGGCTACTAACATTTTACTTTGAAACAGGACAAAACTACAAGAATAAAAAAAACGCTCCTTGAAGTTGTTTAGTAATTATATAAAATTTTTAAAAAAATCAGAATTAATTTCCTCCTGCAGGCTAGTTTCAGTCATGTTAAAATCCTTTCAAAATAAAATACCATGCAATAAATAAATAAATAAATAAATAAAACTATGGCGGCCATGACAGTTGCTTTAATTCTTCAAAAGTTGCCCATTTTAGGAAGAATTTGAATACTCTAAAGCCACTGACCATCCCTGGTTAACAGCCATCTCACAATAATAACCAGTTGACGCTCGGAGCACGAGCTGGGGAGGACTCTCAGCTACCACACCATTATTTAGCAAAATATCTGCAGATTTGACTGAGTTGTACCCATGTTAGTATTTGCTGCTGATTAGCTGTGGTGCCCATCCTAATCAGCTGACTCCAAAAGTAAACAGACTGTAGACTTCTGAGAGGTTCACTGAAATCCAATCAGCGGTTATTCAGATATTTTGCTAACAAACAAACAGCTAGAACAGCTACGTTTTGGACTTTTTGTGATCACTCAGATTATGGATTACGAGTCTGTAACACCACGCCAAACTCTAATGTTTGATGTTTGTAATATTTACCGAGCGTGGCCATTTGATTTGGTCTGCCCAGGCCGCCTAGCTGTGGCGGCCATCTTAGATGAGTTGTAGATGCTCACCCAATGATTATTTCTAAGAATTTTATTATTTTTGCAAAGATATAGACAAATGCAGGTAAAAAAACCACCAGCGTTTTGGACCGGATAAAGTTGTAGTAGTGGCCTAATTTGGCCCACAGACCTTCAGTTTGACTAGATTCAGAACAAAAGAATGGAAACATCTGGCCCCGTTTATTTTAAAACAGAGGCTCAATGAAGGAGTTTAATCACTACGGTGAACTACAGATAAACTAAACATTAATCTGTAGAAAATCTAAAACACGACACGGTGGTTCTGTGGGTCAGGGTCTAAAAGCTACTGATCCTCCTCCGAGGTTACTCACTTGGAAATATTCAGTTTCATCGTCCAAGAAGTTTCCCTGAAAAACCAAAACTTTAGGAAAATTCTACTTTTGTTGTCGTTTGCTGCTCCGGTTTTACTTCTCCGACACGAATCGTGCTCAGACTCAGGATGGGTACTTGAGTTTATTAATAAACAAATATTAATCACAAGTTCTGGTAGAAGTGAGACATTATTAATCGTGCTAGGAGGCGTTCATGTGATGTTTAAAATGTGTGAAATGTGCCTACCTCCAGGTCCAGCTCCTGGGGCTCCTCGTCAGACAGGGGAATGACGGCGATTTTGGTGATTTTGTAAACCTTGTGGCCGCCCGGCGGTAAACGGCCCACCAGAGCTTTCTGACGGATTAAAACAAGACCCAGTGGAAGATCTGCCAAGAGGAGAAACAGGACGGAGGAGCTGCGTCATTCATGTTAATTAGTCTCAAAGGTGTTGATTAAGCAGCTGCGCAAACTACAGACTTTATTAATGAGCTGCACGAGACGTCAAGGAAATAAATATTTACATCCCCTCATTTCATTTGGTGCACTAAATATTACATGCATTTTATTGTGACGGGGTGTATTCAAGACTTTCAGGTCCACACGCACAAAATCTGACTCGTATCGCTTTATTTCAAGATTTCATACTTTTCCAGACTCTAAATTCCAGATTCCACAGCTTATTTTTTTAACCTCTATAAAATGTTTATAAATAATTTATGCCAGATGTTTCTATAGTGGTCTGTTTTTTTATGTGAACTTTAAATAAACACAAAAAAAGACTGCTTTAGAGGAATTTGCATTTTTACAGGAACCAGAGTGAACGATGAACTCTGGATGACTTCGCTACACTGCAGCTGCAAGCTAAATGGTGCAAAAAAAAACATAGCTAAGAGCTAAATGAAGCAAAAGTGCAACTATGAGCTAAATGTGCAAAACCATAGCTAAGAGCTAAATGATGCAAAAACTGCAGCTGCAAGCTAAATAGTGCAAAACCTCACCTAAAAGCTAAATGGTGCAAAACTACAGCTATGAGCTAAATGATGCAAAACCATAGCTAAGAGCTAAGTGATGCAAAACTGCAGCTGCAAGCTAAATGGTACAAAACCTCACCCAAGAGCTAAATGAAGCAAAACTGCAGCTGTAAGTTAAATGATGAAAAACTGCAGCTATGAGTTGAATTTTGCAAAACCATAGCTAAAGAGCTAAGTAATGCAAAACTGCAGCTGCAAGATAAATGTTGCAAAACCTCAGTTATGAGCTAAATACTTTAGGAGTACTTTCAGGAGGATTAATCCTCACAAGGCAACTGGCCCAGACAACATCCCCGGAAAAGTGTTGAAGGAATGTGC